TATGAAAAAAAAAAAAAATTTCCCCCCTCATGCCCAAAGCGATTTCCAACCCAGCAGCCTAAATTCTTGATTTTTGATGTGCTTGGAAAGAAAGTATTTGCATTGAGTGAGAACCTGTGTACTATGGAAAGCAAGCGTGTATATTTTGTGTTCTTTTTTCTTGTTATTAGGAAGAAGTGATAGAACCGACGACTGGCTCAGGTCTCCACAAGAACCAAAACAAAACAAAAAGGAGGCTTTATTGTTGCAAGTATATTAATCTCCAGGCAGTAAGAATTCCGGTATGTGGTATTTTCATGGGGTGTTGGAATATGAAAATGTGGTTTCTAAATGTAAATCTTTAAAAACATAGTCTAATTAGAATCCTGAACACACAGTAGGTAATTGGTTTTGGTTTTTTTGTTGTTGTTTTGTTTTTTTGTTTGTTTTCTTTCCAAAGCTTAGCTTGGTCACAGCTTAGCTGTCGTCACATTGTGACCCACAACGATAGTTTAGTTTGACTCTGACCAGGATTAAGAAATAAAAGGAACAGAAACTACAGCTGACATTTTATTGAGCATTTACAATGGGCTAGGTATGGGGCTAAGCACTTTAAATACACCGTCTTATTATTATTTTTTTAGAGCACGTAAATTAAACATGGCGAGTGGAGAGGACAAATGACACAAATATTATTTCGAGATTCATCCAAGGAGTCAGGTTCTATTTAGGGGAAGCCAGAGCGTCCAAACACTGCGTCGCCAGTCGCCAACTCGAGAGGTATGCCAGTTTCAGCTAGAACGGGACCCAAGCTCCCAAGATGCCAAACCAGGCCAGCGAAATATCAAGCACAGGGGATAACCCGGATGACATCGGAAGCCATTCCCAGCAGTAGAATCCAGTGAGTTGAAACCCCCTGGCTTAGTGAAAAATATTTGCAGCCCAAATTCCTACAAGGGAAGAAAGTACAGTTTTGAGAAACGGCTGAACTCCTGACCCTTTTCCTGCCAGGCGGCTGGAGAGGCAAACTTGGAGAGGCTCTTCCTTGTGCAGCCGGTTGAAACTTGCTGCCTCTGTTTAACCGCAAGTCCCAAGTCCCAACGCTGCAGGAATTTCCCTTTCTCCGTGGCCTGTCTTTTGAGCAAGGCTGAGAAGAAGGTAAGAGGCCTTCTCTATAAAGCTCTTTGGCGTCCCCAGGGGGTCCACTGGCAGCCGGTCTGTAGCGTTTCTGCTTGGGGTGGGGCAGCAGTGAAGGATTCATCTAGAGATTCCCTCACTGGCCTCCCTCTTCAGGCCCTGCCTTAGCACTTAATCCATTAACCTGTACTTGACAGTGATTGGCCAATAGCTCACGTAACAGGAAGTTTCCCTGGTCAGTGGCTTCTCTCTGATGGTTCCTTTTCAGCCTCCTTAAAGGCCTGCTTCTCTGCTAGGGCTCCATAACCATCCTCTTCCTGCTCTTCACACACCCCCATCTCCAGGTTTTCTGGACCTCAGCACTGCTGACACTGAGGTCAGGTAATTCTTTACTGGCTCCTGTGCATTCTGGGAAGTTTAGTAGCCTCTCTGGCCTCCTCCTACTAGATGCCAGTGGAAGCTCAGCCCCTATCCCACTATGACAATCAAAAATGTCTCCAGATATTGACAGCAGTACCCCCACCCCCACCCCCTGCTGCTCTACTCTTGGCTTCAATTACCACCTAGATGCCAATAGCTCCTTAAACCAGACCTCTGGCCCTGCTGGTTTCTGGAGGTGCTTATCCAATGGTCCCCGGGGTATTTCCACCTGCCTATCCCACAGGCATCTCACAGTCAGCCGATCCTAAACTGATTTGTCTTCTTTCCTCATTCAGGACTGAACTCCCAGTGGCCCCAACTAGAAAGCTCTTCCACCTTCTCTGTAGTTCCCAGCTCCGCTCACCCTCTCCCTTCCACCACTAAGTTCGGATGTCAGTATCTGTCCTCCGGGTCATAACAGCCTCTCCCACCTCCTTCTCCCCCGCCCATCCTCTACACCCAGGCCAGAGTGAGCTTCCTAAGGCTTACACCTGATGGCGCTTCTCCCTGGGTTTCAAGGCCCTGAGCTATCTGGCTCCAAATCACTCTCCTTAAACACCAGCGCTTCACCCATTTTCTCTTGTCCCCTTGTCCTTCATCCAGGAATGTTCTCTCCCACGTCAACTGGCTCACTTCCTCGTCCTTGAAACAGAGCAACCGAAAAGATGCTACAGACTTGGAAAGCCAGGGTCTTTTTCTGTTTTTTAGTGTTGCTTCTTTTTTCTTGATTCCATGTGGTACATCCTGATATTACAAAACAGGGGCACCTGAGTGGCTCAGTCAGTTGAGTGTCCGACTCTTGGTGTCAGCTCAGGTCTTGATGTCAGAATTGTGAGTGCCAGCTCTCCAAAGAGCTCCCTGGTGGGCTCTGTGCTGGGCATGGAGCCTACCTAAAAAACAAAACAAAACAAACAAAACATAAGCCATAAACCCAATTATCTTTGTTCTTGATGCTAAACTCCCAGACTCACACACCTCCAGGGTTGTGGTGTAGTCAGGTGATGGGTGAGGGCTGCAGTCTCACTGCAAGCGTATCCTGAAGACAAGGTCTCTGAGTCCTATGCCCAAGGGTAAGGGCTCATCCCCTAATACCCCGGGCGCTAGACTAAGAGCGGTGGCTTGAAAATGGCCATGATGCATGACTGCTATCATTCCTTCCGGAAGGGACCCTTCGATTTCTAACTTGGAGGAAGGTGTCAATTTCGACAAAGGGGCAAGGTGTGGGGGGCACAGCAAGTGAAGCAGCACTGCCTTCCCGACTTCGAACTTGAACTTATCTCCTAGTTTGTGGTTATCTGCTGCGCGCTTCAGTTACTGGAGGAAACGAATTTCTTCTCACCGTCCTGCTCCCCACCCCGCCCCCCCTTTAGAACGCGGATGCCCTTCAGGATGCTAGTGGCACCGCTGCCACTGCATTTCCTGTTGGCAGCAGAGAGCAAAGCGAAAACACAAGCCGCAGCGGGCAGTGGCCCAGGCAGAAATAGCTCCCGCGATTCCCCGGAGCCTTCCTGGGCCGCGGCCCTGGCTCCCGCACCGCGCGCGACCTGATCCCAGCCGTGGGCAGAGGCCGCGCGGAGACCACACGCCCGCACGGCCCCGCACGCGGCGGACGGTTGCGCGGCGCCCGGACTGCTCAGCGGCCCCTGCGGCTCGCGCCGGCCCTCGGGGCGGGGGGGCGGCGAGCGCGGCGGACGGCGATGCTGGGGCGCGCTCCGCTCCGCGTGGTCCGCGGGGCCCTGGGCGCCTGGCTGCGGGGCGGCCTCTGGATCTGGGCGCTGGGTGGCCTCTGCGCCCTGGGGGCGGCGGCGCTGGGGGCGGGGGCCGGGGGCGCCCCGGGGACCCCGCGCCCGTGCCAGGCGCCGCAGCAGTGGGAGGGCCGCCAGGTTCTGTACCGGCAGAGCACCGGGCGCAACAGCCGCGCCCTCCTCTCCTACGACGGGCTCAACCAGCGCGTGCGGGTGCTGGACGAGCGCAAGGCGCTGATCCCCTGCAAGAGGTACGGGGGCCGCGGGACGGGCGGCGGGGGCGAGGTCGGGGGGGCCGCGTCGGGCCGCTAGATTTCCAGCCGCTGGCGGCGCCTCCCTCTTACCGAGGAGAAACTTCGCGGGGAGGGTGGCCGGGGCCAGCCCGCTCGGGGGGCTGGCGGGAGGGCTGGCCCCACTGCGCTCTGAGATCCCCAGCGGGGCGGTGGTGGGTGAGCAAGGAGGCAGGGGCGGGATCGCATCCCGGCGTCCCGGGGCCCAGGTTCGCCCCGGTCCGCACGCTGCTGAGTCAGGCTCTCGGAGCCCCCTTCAGCCTAGGGCGTGTCACCTGCACTATCTCCTCTCTTCCAGGAGCCATCTGCGAAGGAGGCGCGCAGGATGTGTATATTTTAAGAATTCTTGTTGCATTTTAAAAGCATAGGGCAGCACTGCAAAAGGTGTGGGGAATCAAAGTATCATCACCCCGTTACAACAATTGACATTTTGGTCAACTTCGTTAAATTTTTCTAAAGCAAGTTTCACACACTGTGATTAGAAACCATGAGCTTTCTTTATACAAGCTCACTTACAAGTTCTTATTTGCCATTTTATTGGCTGCCCCCCCCCCCCCC